AGATCAAGGTGCTGGCAGGGTTGGTTCCTACTGAGGGCCGTGAGGGAGAATCCGCTCCTGTCTCCTGGCTTCCGGTGGTTCACAGGCATCGTTGGCGTTCCTTGGCTTCTCCTCTCTCTCTCTGATCTCTGCTTTCATCTTCATATGGTGTTCTTCCTGTGTCCATGTCTCTGTCCAAATTTCCCGTATTTATAAGTCATTGGTCATATTGGATTAGGACCCACCTACTCCAGTGTGACCTCTTCTTAACTCATTACTCTGCAATGACCCTATTTCCAAATGTGAGGGTACTTCAAAAAGTTCATGAAAATACTAGTTTTATATTTTAATTCTATTTTTGTATTATCTTTTAATTCTATTTTTCCATGATCTTTTTGAAGTACACTTATAAGGCTACATTCTGAGGTACTGAGAGTTAGGATTTCAACACATAAATTTGGGGAAACAATTCAATGCATAAAAATGCATTTGTTTGTTTTAAGCCACCATGTTTGTGGTAACTTGTTCCACTGCAATAGATTCTTAAAACAATTGTAAAGTAAAAAAAGAAATGAAATACCATTAAAAGTATAGATAAATATCAATGGTGAGGGGCAGTTCAGTATTGATCTTAGTTCAGGTGAAACATCATCTAAAGATATGAAGTATTAATGCATTTGGTTTCATTATAAGAACTAGGAACTCTTTTGCCATACCATACACATGCAGTGTGAAACCATAGCATTGAATACGCTCATCCTGAAATTCCCCCCAGAATTAGTTGTCATTTTTATAAGTTTCTTCCAATTAATTTTTTTTCCTTCCAAGGAAACTAGAGGTATTATGATAAAAGAAGCAAGTGCTGAAAGTGAAACTCAGAAAATGTTATATATTTTTGTCAATTTCTAAAATCTGCCGTTATTGATGTATTTTCAGTCTATAGAAAGCAGCATTTGGACACCAGTGTCCCATAGTTGCACGGTTTTGATCGCCTCATGGAAAGATGCATTGATCACCTGAGCTACTGTAGCTCACCCTCCCTCACTTGACCTTGTCACCCGTTAAGGACTATCAATCCACTGCAACAAACTGGAATATCCAGACGTAGTCCCAGAACAACTGTGCTGTCTTGAGAATCTTCTGATTTGATTAAATTAATTATGAATCCTGCAATCCTTGTCTTGCAATATCTGCTTAGCATGTGTCCACCTCTGGGCCAGACCAGGTGGCGTGTGATTTTGGATGTGATTCTTAGGGTCATGATTGTAGTGTATATACATATTTAAATAAACTCCCTTTTCAGCACTCACTGCCAAGCCAAACTGGCACTTTCTACTAGTTTAATTTGGTGATATCTTCAAACAGTAAATTTTTGCACTTTAAAAGTTCTACAAATTGTTCTATGAGCCTAAAATCTTTTGGTGAGAATAATGTCAAAGTAATTTTCACTGAGAGGAAATATAACATTAAAAAAAACCCTATAATATATATGCCCAATTGTGTTTGGGCAAAATAGTTCTTCAAACTCACACAGAATTATCTCAAAAAACAGTTTACCAATAGATTACCTTATTTTTAATTGAATCAACAAATCGTTTTGAGTCCCAGTTTTATGTTTATGAACAAAAGCATATTTATAACTTTGCTATTATGCAAAAGTTATAGATGAACTAAATAAGTCAGTTATCTTCTTATCTAAACTTTATCCCAAACAATAAGAGCTACATTTATTGAGTTTACTCTGTGTTGGGCATTCTTGCTAAGTGCTTTACTCATATTAATTTATTTAATCCTCTTGACAATTCTATGAGATAGGTTCTAATCTCATCCTCATATTACAGTTGAGAAAAATTAAGCCAAAAGAGTTGAAATAGCTTATTCAAAGTAATATACTTTTTGGATGTGAGGGGAGAGGATATAAACCCAGATAGTCTGGTATCTGAAACCATACTCTTAAATACAGAAATAGACAGTTTAATTATTTAAAATAATTCTTTGGCCTCTTTGATTTCATTCTTTCATTCGCTAAATATTCATTGAGTGGTCCCATGAGCAGGTGCTGTGCTAAGCTACCTAAACTGGTAGGCAGGACAGAGCCCTTTTCTGCATCTCTGGGACAATGGAGGGTGCTGGAGAGTATTTGCAGAGAGTGCTGAGAGAATGTGGTAGGTTTCCATCTGACCTGTTCTTAGTTCAGGAAAGCCTTCCTGGAAAAGATTGACATGCCACCTATGGCGTTTGTTTCTCAGGTGAGACCAGAGTTGAAGCTGGATCACTGGCCCTGAATAGTGCATTAGGGAGAAATGAGGCTGGGATAATCCATTTGGGAGGACACAGTTCTCATGATCTAACCACCTCTTAAAGGCCCACCTTTCAGTTACCATAATAGGATTTCTCACCCTTTTAACACAGTTACAGTGGGGATTAAGTTTCCAATACATGAACTTTTGGGGGACACATTTGACCCATGGCAGTACATATGCACAGGTATTAAACCAAAGTATCCACCAATTTAACAAATTGTTGAAATTCAAGTGTTGTTTGCATAAAAGCCAAACATTCAGCAATCAAGAATGCTGTGTTTCTTTGGCAGTAGCTAGGGATAAATACCAAGGTGAATTAAAAAAGAAGACACCAGGAGCATCCTGTCACATTAAAAGAAAGCTGCATTGTCACTTCAGTCTAATGGGTGGCTTCTGTTCACGTGTGCACCTTTGCATACCTACCACACTGTGTATGTTACTCTGTGCTTTTGGGCTTTATGTATATGACTTTGCACAGTCTATTGGTGCTTTGAGATAAGTAAATTCTAAAGTTTCATCTTTCTAAAAAATAAGTAAGAGACTATAGAAGGTGAGAACTGATCTGCAGCTCCTTTTCTCTACAACTTTTTCTTTTATGTGAGGATTGGAAGGGGAGATATTTGGCTTAACTGGAAATGCTGTGTTGTACTGGGAAGTACACTTGCAGACTCTTCAGAATCAGGAATCAAGCCTTACTCATTTTCCCTACAGTGCCTGGTCTACTACTTTAATTCAGTAAGTTCTCCTTAAATATTTATTGAGAAAAACAATATGCTATTCAGATATAGAAAAACTGTTTCATTACATGATTGAGGCTTACTTTTTTTAGTGGTATTCTTTTTTACTTTTATTATTTTTCTTACCAAGATTTGCAGACAATTATGGATTATGGATTATGGATTCTTGAAAAAGTACTAGGTCGAGGTAACAGTGTAACAGTTGGGAAAAGCAGACACCTGTGAATCTCAGTATAATCTATAGCTTTATCTAGAATATCTCGACTTCACGGTTATAAAAGTAGCGTGAGTCATTTTAGTAGTGTGCGTTTCCCACCAGTTCCCTGGCAAAACTGCGCAGCCCAGGGAGTTGTTCACGGCCACCTTCCTGTATAGTCCTCTGTCCCCAGGGATTGAGTATTTTCATGTTGCTTCTTGATTATGAGTCATTTTAGTAGTGTGCGTTTCCCACCAGTTCCCTGGCAAAACTGCGCAGCGCAGGGAGTTGTTCACCGCCACCTTCCTGTATAGTCCTCTGTCCCCAGGGATTGAGTATTTTCATGTTGCTTCTTGATTGTCTCAAATCTCCCACCCATGCCAGGGCTTACTCCACAAAAGTGGCTCAGGAGTTGAAATGGCCTAATCTCTCCATTTAACTTACATTTCGAGGAATTTTTTCATTTATGTCAGTAAACGACAATGTGATAATTCACTTGTAAATCTTATAAGAAGCTTTCATTTTTCTTCAGTGAACTGTTGTTTTGACTCTATAAATAAAGATTTTTAACTAAGACGAAACAAAACAAAAAGTAGTAGAAATCAAAGAAAGCGGATAGTAACCATGACCAATAGTCAAGGCACATCTCTCTTATCATGCTGAGATGTTTTTATTTGCCTGTTTTCTATGTGCTCTATTATCAATGAGTTCATATTGTATAATACATAGAATTTTACCTTTATTTTTTACTTAATTTCACAGGATTTGCAGTTTATTGCGATATTTAAAAATCCCAAATTTCATCATCATGTTTGCTTAATAATCTGTCATAAGGCACAGTCCTCTTGAATTTAATTTACTTATGTTAAGGTGAAGATGTAAGTTGTCTTTACTTTCGCTGCCCTAAGAAATAACTTGCTAATTGTCCAACACAAAAAGCTGTAGAGTAATCCCTCCTACCCTCCAATTTATGCTGCCTGATGTAACGTTTTAAATTTGACTGTGTAGTAAGATGCTCTGGGATTGTTATCATGTTCCCCAATTTATTAGTCTATTTTTTTCAACCAGTATTAAGGATTTTTTTGAACTTTGTATATAATACTTTTACCATCCGAAAAAGTAGTTTCCTAAATCATTATTTTTCTTTCTCAAAATATCTTAGCTTCCAGGCTATCTGTTTTCATATGAGATTTTAGATGGCATTTTAATAAAAGTTTTGTATTTATTTGCAAAAAGTTTTTAATGTCGTTCTCATGTTTTTTTATGGTGATAAAAGATATATAAAACCAAATTTGCCATCTTAACCATTTTTAAGTGTATAGTATGTAGTATGGTAGTATAAACTCTATGCATAAAGTTGTGCAATAGAGGACATTTTTAAAAACACATCCCTAGTTGGCAGGTGTGGATGAGACAATTTGAGGAGCCCCACGATTCAAGCATTCCACCCACAGTGCTCCTGCTCAGTGTGTCAAGTCCTCTAGTGAACAAAATACACTGTGCAATCAATGCCTTCGGTCAGATTCAGCACCACTTGCCCTGTGGGCTCCTCTGAAGTTTTTGCAACTGCTTTGTATCCCACCTGCTGTGGGAAAAACAGAGGATTCAGAGACATGCAAGAGCAGATACCTGTGACTGTGAACACCAGCAAAATCAAACTTGACAAAGCATCTCTCTCTCTCTTTCTCTTGTCCTCTCTGTCTGTCCATTAACGAAATAACTAGACAAGAATGTGACATCCCGTCCATCTCACGTGATACTCCTGTGAATCCTTTCCCCCCGCAGGCTGTAGGAGCAGAGGACAGTTCAGAGCATTCCCAGCACAATCTCGGAGGAAACGCTCTGCTCGGTACAGCCATCCCAACAAGGAAGGCGTGGACGTGAGTGATCTGATAAGTAGGTATGTATAGAAATATCTTATTTCTTTAGGCCACTTATTGTAAATTTGCTGCAAATCTACAGTTTGGGGTTTTTCACAGACACCACATTTGACTTATTTACGTATAAGATAAACTACGTGAAAAGGAGCAACCCAGGTAAGTTGTTTACTATGTACAGGGATCATTTTCTTCTGGAATAGCCTGTGCAGGGTATGCTTTTCAATAAGTTTTTCCCAACAATGTGTGGAAAATTGTACATCATAGATGCTATTTTTTTTTCCTTTTTGTCTTTTTTACTGACCGGTAACGGGATCGCAACCCTCGGTGTCGCGCCCGTACCGGGGACGGCAACGGGATCGCAACCCTTGGTGTTGCGCTGGCACCGCGCTCAGCCAGTGAGTGGGAACCGGTCTCCACATGGGATCCAAACCCTCGGTGGGAGCGCCGCCGCACTTCCCAAGCAGCGCACTCTCCAGTGCGCCACTGGGCCGGCCCCATAGATGCTAGTTTTGACTCCTTAAATCACATTATGAATGTTGATATTTTTCAAATTCTTTTTGAAAATATGAAAGAGCGTAATGTTTGTAAGAAAGGTAATAATATTTATCAAGTAAAGTTGATTTTAATTCATGAATAGTGTATTGCAAGCAAAGCTTAATTTGTGATGAAGATGGAATATTTGTGAACTCTTAGAAAGCTGAGAAATGTCAATGTTATTTCTTTGAAATCTCTTTGGACTTCTCTTTTGAACTGTATATACCAGCTTGGTATAAAATTATTTCTTCACCAAATTTCTCCTCACGATTGATTTGGAAGCTTCTGAAACGAAACAGTACCCTGTGTATCAAAGTGTGCAGTAGCATTCCATAAAACACAGAATAATAGCAAATGCTGTTGTATTGCTCACTATATGCCGAACATTCTTTTAAACACTAAATAAATGTTAACTCATTTAACAAAAGTTCTCATATAAGTGCTGTTCTGAAATCCACTCAGAGTGGTGAGTGGTGCAGAGCAAGAGGTGACTGATCCTAACGGGTCCTTAGACAGGCTGTGCAGAGGAGGTGTCCTGAGGGACAGGCTAAGGTTTCAATAGAGTTTAAGGGAGTACCAGTCTGCAAGAACAACAGGAGCAAAATCACAGAGCAAAGGAAAGTGAGCTGTCTTGGGGTAGTGGTCAGGCTTGTGTGTCTACGTGAGCTGGGGTGCTCAATGGTTAGGGATGAGGAACATTCAGGAAGAAAGCTCTGTCAGAGAAGGTTGAGGCAGAGTGCAGAGTCTTAAGTTCTTGGCTGAGGAAATGCAGTGCGTTCCATGTGTTTCTGGAGCCACTGTCTGCAGAGTATTGGGAATGTCAGCCAGGAGTAGGAACCGCATTCAGGAAGAAAGCTCTGTCAGAGAAGGTTGAGGCAGAGTGCAGAGTCATAAGTTCTTGGCTGAGGAAATGCAGTGTGTTCCATGTGTTTCTGGAGCCACTGTCTGCAGAGTATTGGGAATGTCAGCCAGGAGTAGGAACCTCAGTCAGACCCGTCTTTAAATAATTCAAGTGGCAGGAAACCTTGACTTGGCCCTTTAATTTGGCATGTCATTTGTCTTTTTAATTGACACTAACAGGTAAAGCATTTCACTGGTGTGTCATCAGAAATGGGTGCTGGGTCACATGTTGAAGGGTGATTTCCCTTGTCTTGTAAGATGTTGGCGGGAATCTGGCTGTTTCCGTGGCTTCCACAGCGTGGGGCGTGGGTCAGGACGTTCATCACCTGCCTTCTGCTTCTGCTTCAGCAGCATCCAGGTTCTGCCACAAACACTCATTTTGCTTGTTTTGAGATAAAAATTTATTTATATTATTGTCTAAACTCTGAAGACTCTGGGGACCTCATTGAAGCTCTGCTTACATGTTGCCTCGGCTAAAGATTTGTTGATTTCATTTTCAGCCTCCTGCCAATCGTATCAAACTTTTACTCAGACATAAACTCTACTACTGTGAGTTCAGTTTATCATAATCTGACAATAAAAAGATAGTACGAATTTGTTTTGTCTTGTAACTCATAACTGTGCACACTTTAGTAATGCTGCAGATTGTTCTGTCGTGCTCGAGTGTACCATAGTTGTTTAGACCACAGAGGGTCAAATCTCCTCAGCCAACACACACAGATCACTTTGGCTGTAGTTTCACTTTTTGTTTTCTCTGCGTGTTCATCTTTCTTGCATTTACCCTCTCTTCTCTATCCCCATTTTTTAAATTCCATTTTAGTCACACATTAAGCCTTCCTTTCAATACACTATTCAAGAATTAAAATCAGTTCAACTTACTATTATTATATGTTCTTATTAACAATATGCTGAGTTTCATATTTTCGATAAGAATTCAAAATATAGCAATATGCAGACTGTTTTTTTTCTTTCATTTGTTGCAATAACCTCCCCAGTTGGTCTCCTCCCCTCACTTTTCTCCCTCCACACTGTCTAAAACACAAATCTGATCATGCTTACATGACCCACAGCTCCCTGTGGATGGGAAACAGTCGGTGGAGTAGTTAAAAGAAAGCATTTTTTTCTTTTTTTAAAAATTCTGACCTGCATCCCAGCTGAGCAATTTCATAACTGTATACTGTGGGCATGTTAACGACTTTATAAGTTGCAGTACTCTTGTCTACAACTCAGGGCTAAAGTGTCGCATAGCACTGAGACACTTCATGCTCTCCAGCACTTAGACCCTTGCCTGGCTCAGAGCAGGTGCTGACTACATGGAGCCTGCAGTGGATAAAGAACTGGGACCCTCTTTATTTGGCTTCCTTGACTCATACCTACCTCCACCCCCAGGCGAAGTCATTGTCTTCTTCTTTATTTATGTATGTTGACAATATCAGCAATCTTATTCTTTATACTGTACACTTTTCAGTATTTTCTAAATGTATTTTTTTCCTCCAATCAGTAATCAAATGATAGAATGTAATTTGTAAGATAAAACAGTCAATGTTTCTTATGAATTTAGGTCATTTTTTCTTCTACACTTGCACATTTACATTTTTTTCTAAAATAACATGCTACCTTTATTATAGAAAAACTATTTTTAAATAAATAATAAACTAAAAATATAAATAGTTATGTTAAAAGTTTATTCTGTGCATATAGGTGACCCCCTCCCATTATTTTATTGAGTAGAGGTGATTTTTTTCTTATATTTTACTGAATTCTGCAAATCTTATAAAATAGCATATAGTACTTTTTATGGATAAAAATATATGTTTGATTCATTGATTGATTTTAGTAGTTTTATTTTATTGTGATAAGAACACTTAATATAAGCTTATACCCTCTTTTCACATTCTAAAGTGTATAATACGGTATTGCTTTCCATTCGTTTGATAAACATTTAGGTTGTTTCCGTATCTTGGCTATTGTGAATCATGATGCAGTGAACGTGGGGTGCACATATCTCTTTGAGATCCTGATTTCAATTCTTTTGGACATATACCCAGAAGTAAGATTGCTGGATCAAATGGTAGCTCTATTTTTAATTTTTTGAGAAGCCTCCGTGCATGGTTTCCATGATGGCTACACGGTTTTGCATTCCCACCAACACTGTGTAATCCTCACCAACACTTGTTTTCTTTTGTCTTTCTGGCAATAGCCATCTTCCCAGGTGTGAAGTGACATCTCATTGCGGTTCTAAAGGACATTATGCTAAGTGACATAGGCCAGTCACAGAAGGACAAACACTGCATGATTCCACTTACACAAATTATCTAAAATAGCCAAACTCATAGAAGCAGAGAATAGAGTGGTGGTTGCCAGGGACTGCGGGGAGGAGGAAGTGGGGAGCTGTTGGTCAGTGAGTGTAAAGGTTCAGTCACGCAGGAGGAATAAGTTCTGCAACTCTGCTGTGCAACATAGTGCCTATAGTTACCAATGTGGCATTGTACACTTTAAAATGTGTTAAGAGGATAGACCTCCTGTTAAGTCTTATCACAAAAACAAAAACAAATGAAAAAACATGAGGACATTTTTGGAGGTGGTGAATATGTTTAGTACCTTGATTGCAGTATCAAAGGTGCATATGTATGTCCAAACTCTTCAAAATGTACGTTAAATATGTGCATTTTTTTGTATATCAATTATACCTCCATCAAGCTTAAAAATGTAGTCTTGTTCACTATAGGTACAATATATTGTACTTATTATTCGTATCACTAATATTATTACTAATATTATTGGTTGTAGTTATTATTTGTTTTCCTAATATAAATGTTATATTTCCTGCTTGTTTATCAGCCAGTGTTTTCTGAGAGAGTGTGAGAAACCTAATGGATGTGCCCAAGCCCTCATGTCCTGCATCTACTTAGCTTAGCTTAACTTCCTAATATAAATGTTATATTTCCTGCTTGTTTATCAGCCAGTGTTTTCTGAGAGAATGTGAGAAACCTAATGGATGTGCCCAAGCCCTCATGTCCTGCATCTACTTAGCTTAGCTTA